AAGGGACCAAAGTCATACCGCCGGGTCTTTTTCCATCGTCTCTAAATATTTCACAAGGTTCTAAAATCAAGGGAACATTTATAGATACAAGAGCTATTCGTATGACATCGTTAAAAGAACCGTTACGGAAACCCTACCAGCACTCTTCTTACATGAAAGTCCGTGGAACTCAAACTTGACGACTGAGACTGATGAGGTTGACAAATCGCCCGCTCTTAGTCGGATTCCTACGGCAATGCGCAAGCTTTCACGTTTTAGTCGAAATACCTAGAAGGCGGACCTGATCTTGGTCGGAATATCCCACTGTTTTTGTAGGTGAAGTTTCATGAAAAATTTTCGCTGGAACAAAGCGTTTGACATGACTGTCTTCCCTCCGCAGCAAAGTATAGATCTACTTTATTATTTAAAATTTTGTTACATAAGTCATTGCACGGAAACAAGGAAAACAGGAAATGCAACGCTAGCAAGATTTGTGAAACCGATAACACCAAATTTTACAGGTAATGTAGCTTGAGTCCAGGCTGTTGTATTAAAGGTAAAATTTTGTAATTTTTCTATATTTGTTTTAAGATTACTATCAATTTCTTTATAAATATCTGAACTTTTCCAGACTGGACTCGAGTTGAGTGAGTACCTACATAATATGTAAATCTAGGTACAAGAAGAGAATATTTTAAAATAGTAATAGCAATGTGGCCTTAAGATATATAATTTATCAACGTGGTTGATAAATTCGTTTAAATATTGATTTTTTTTTGTTAAAACATGTTCAATACTATGGAAAAAAGTTTTTTTTTTAGTAAGATCACTGAAGACGTCATTTGCTCTATCTCCTGTCGCCCAGATACCAGACATTCAGCCTGGATTTCAAATTTGTAATAGTGGGTTGAATCGTCAAACTGAAAAGAGCTGGACTTAGTAGGTCGTCCTGAACCGACTTTAGAATCAATAATATGGTTTTCGTAAAAGAAAGTATTTTGACTGTAACGTTGCCAAAGGTGAATGATACATTTCGAGGCTATTGTTAGCCACTTGTTACAGCAGGTTTACCCTATCGATAGAGTTAAAAGCATATTAATTAGGTCAACCTTCATTAAAACATCTGTATGAGACATTCGTACAAATGTACCTACGCACTGAATGTATTGCCGCCTCACAGCCGCCACCTTTAGAGTCAAAGCCTGGTCGTGTAGGCTGAAATTATATCTTAAGGTTATTTTAATTAAATCTTTTTATAGTTTTTTTTTAAACGTTGCCCACACAGGGAGTCCTGTATCTTCGAGACGTACACATACATGAATTGCAGATTGACAAACAACCAGACCCGGAACAATTATTTGTATGATATACAAATACTTGTTTCGTGCGAGACTTGCAGCCAAATGCTTAGCCACTGCGTTTCCATGCCATCTAACTATCTAAATGTTTTTTTATATGCATATATTTTTGATATTATATCCAATGTCTTGAGACTTCCTTCGGCAAACATAAATGTGTTAACCAGTATTTCTGTGATATATTGTAATATTTTCTTTATTTTTCCAGGTAAACGCCTTGGAACACGTGGAATTGCGGTGAATTAATACAATACGCCAGGTTAAAAAATTAAATTTTATTTGTGTAAGTTCTTGATAGTGCAAAGGTATTATTTTCTCATTACCTTGGAATTTGGTTTATTAATGCGTTTTTACTTTGAATTTGTCGATAAATTTATTAGGAGACTCAACCGAAAGAACTTAGTAATGTGATTATACAAAGCTTAAGATAACGGATCGTTCTCTTGCAAGGCCGTAGTGCGAGTTCACGCAGTACGGCGTTTTTATATGACACGTTAAGATACTCATCCACACGAAACGTAAGACTCGCGTTCTGTTTTGATTAAATTTTTTGAAGTAACTAATATCGTCTTGTCTATTTCGTCGTCGTTAGAAAACCATAGAAAAAGTCAGAACGGCCCCATTTCAAATATATCAGATGTAAAACCTAGATCGACGTTGGGGACCAACATCAAGAGTGAAAAATACCTGTTACTGCGATTGCCAATCCGCCTGCCAAGCGCCACGAATTTTTCCTATAATAGATCTCAAATCCTTGGAGAATAAGAAATTGAAGAATGGCAAATTTTGCCCACAATAACAAATGTCAATGGAAATTTACGAACTGGTGAAGAAGTTTTGAAAACTTTGAACATAATATCAATTAATGATTGAGATAAATGTAGTATATGATATAATAAAATAAAAATAATGTTATTTAAATTATATATTTTAAATACTACATTAAACTATAATACTACATTATACCTACTACTACGACACTATGATGACCTATACACACAAAACTATTAATTCATTGTTTTAAAATATTCACGTCATAACCAAAATTTAATTTTCGTTCTACATTGTACTTTTATATCCTTGAAACCACAATATATAATATGAATTAAGCGTAAACAAAGAATTCACACGTTGAAACTTGGTAGGTAAGTCTAATTTTTAAATTACGCAATAAATAAAGACTGTAATATTTTAGCTCTGTTAATATAATTTTGATTTAGTTTGTCTGACATCTCGTTTGTGACCGACTTTGTGTTTTGCCTCCAAGGCCTTTTGTTACGCCTCGATTTGGCCTAATTTGTTTTTAATAAGTCTAACACATATTAATTTCATACATTGATTGATGACTTACATTAGTATTAAGTACATCGTCATTCGTCAAATACTCGTACGGATGTGTGCCGTGTATTTAATCAGTTTTAAAATAGACTTTGATGTACTGACTAATTTCGGTTTTGCGTTAACACTCTGAAGGTCGAATGTTGTTTTGATCATTATAGCTATGATTATAGGTCTAGAAATTGATGTTTATGTAATTGTTGTTATTGGATGGAGGTAATACACTAAGAATAGGTTATATCATGTTTTATAACTTACTATATTCCGCCTGCTCCTTCTTCGCCCGTGTGGAAGCAGAAACGCCATCATATTTATTATTTTAACTCTCATTGGTATATTCAAACAGTGTATTAACAAAAATGTATATGTCATCTTTTCTTTTTCTTTTCTTTTCTTACGTTTAAGACTGCCTAATTTGGAGCAAGAGTGATTGCTTGATTGAGATTGTCGCAAATATTTATCGTCAACAATATTTCATTTCATCCAGTAATTTGGGAATTAAATTAATTAACTATTAATTTCTTTTAGTTAAAGGATAATTTGTTTCCAAGAAAGAGTGTACACTTAACTGAAGGTAAATAGTGAACTATTAAGTCGTTCATTTAACGTGGAAATAAATCCTTAAGTGTGTTGACGCGGTGATTATATTGCCCGATCAACACTGATTTACTGGTAACAATAAACCGTGAATGGAAACAAATGTCTTGGGCGACGTCGACGACATTTGTAAACGATCCTATGAAGGAGTGTTAAGTGACGAAATTGATACTCTTTTAATCATTGTTCTTGTTGAAAATTTATAAAAAATAATATTTTTTAATTAATTTATAAGGAGTATTGCGCTATTAAATATTGTCCATATTATTCCAAATTTTTCGAATCAGTTAGTTTCTGAAAATTTTACTTTAAGTGCGAGATATTTTTAAGTTCAGGTATTTATTATAAGGCATTGTATACCTACGATCATAAATTTATGAAAATGAGTTAATAAAACTATTCCATATAATGTTATAAAGAATACTATCGCGGAATACCTAGTAGAAATAGCATGAAACGATGCTGCGTTCCGTATGATGAGTGACGAGGACCGAAGATGTTCAGGTAACGAAGCATTCCTTCTTAGTGACTTATAGTGACGACGCGTCTACATTATGATTCTTAATAGAAGGTAAGTGTAGGTGACTATGGGACATAGCATCCACTTTTCATCAAGTTCTTTTTCAACCTTACTTCTATAAAAATATTTTGATCAAGCTGCTTTCTCGAATTTCTACCCCCTAACTCTAATATCGTCGTGCGTTGACAGACTACAAGGACCCATGACTTCATTTCCTTTCAGAATTTCATGTAGTCGGTGTCGTTAGAGTCGAAAAATCCTTTCTAGGTGAGTTCCCAAGTTCCCGAAATCAATCGGTATCATAATATATAATATAATATATGCACATTTTGGCCTTAGCCGTAGTTTCTGTTAGAATCAACGCAACGAAGTAGTTTCCGTAGAAAATGTATGAATTGGACAGCATATGTTCCATACTTTGCCAGAAAATAAAGAAACATTTAAAAGATTCAAATCAAGATCCAAAAAAAATATTTAGTAATTAGTAATAAGTAGTAATTACTTCATTTATTTGTAGGATGATACGTGAGAATACATGATTGATTCATCAAGTTCGCCGTTGCACGTTATAAACGTGTCAGATAAGCTCAAACATTTTGCAATAACTAGGTATCACTCACTACACCTTCCTTCGTCTACTGCTTTGTTGCCACAGACTTCATTTGCATTATGGAAGCAGCCTTTTATGTCGATTCATATTTAAACATTGACTTTGACACGTGGCCTGGTTTCTTATCCTATTGTGCGATCCTTGTCTTGACGTATTTCAAAACTGCTTTTATAATTTGACTATTTTCCAGGTAGGTTTTGAACGTAGCTGTAGCTCCTGTTTCATAAGGACTGGATTCCATTTTTAACATTAAATAAACCTTATTACCCATAATAGTAATTTCTTTCATATTGTAAGCGTTTCTTATACGTGAATTGCATATGGGTTAATCCAAATTGCATATAATATATATATATATATATATTATATATATATATATATATATATATATATATATATATATATATATAAATAACTATTTTATTATAAAATATATTCAAAATTATTTTTGAACAGTTTAAAGTAAACCAAAGTAAAATTTTTCTATTCACAAATTATAACAAACTTAAAAATGTCTACTCTTTTTTATAAGGCTCGCAACGCACCTGCATTTGGTATTAGATTTATATTAATTGTCATCACTTAAAATTAACAAAAATCACTTGTTACAACATTGCAAGCTATTGTGGCATTTAGAATTACAAAGTAGTCCTATTGACTTGCAGGCACACTTCTTCGTCAAGCATTTTTTAGGCAATTGCATTTTTTGAATCCTTGACCTCCGATCAAAGACAATTTTCCGACAACTTCTCGAAGACTCACTTCTTTATCCTTAACAACTTCTTCTATCTTGATGAAGTCTTCCGAGCATAAGGTAAATTGATTTTTTGTGTAAAGCTGATTCAGAACTCCAATTTTGGTACCCAGTTGGTAAAAATAGTTGTCCCTAATATCTACTACAACTGCAATAATGTTTTCGGGTCAGTTTTAGCTTTGTCAATTTCAGGTACTTTCAGTGTTACATTTTGGCCAATTCTCACATTTGAATATTTATCAGCCAACGTGTCTTTCATTTTTTCAGCTTGTTTCTCCAAACTTAGTTTTGCTTTATTTCCTTCTGTCAGTACAGATTCAATTTTTTTTGGTATTGACTCTATAGTTACAAGAACTTCCTGCGATTGGCTCGTGCTTTCTGTCTCTGAATTGGTATTGCATTCACTAGCGATATTATCCTCAGTTGTCACATTAGAAATATCGTTTATTTTATTACCCTTTACCTTCTCAGTACTAATCTCTTCTTGTATTTTATTCTTAGCAGTGTAAATGAACAATCCCTTTTGTGACTCTTTCTCAACATTATTATGTTCTCTGTCCTGTTTAATCACATTTTCGACGTCATTATTTTGTTCTGCATTTTTCTGCAACTGCAACAAATTTTCCAAATCTTCTTTAGATCTTATAACTCCAATTATATCTCTGGGAATCGTTGAAGTCGCGATGCCCATTTTAATTAGACAACCAAACATTGCTTCGTAGGGGGAACATTTGATTTCCTCATGATATGCTCTATTTTTCATTGCCTGTATGAATTTTAAGCCCTCTGACCATTTCGATATCTGGTTAGTTTCCATCCACGTGCTAAGCATATTTTCTATGTCTTGACTAGCACGCTCCACTGATCCCTGACTCTGGCTATGTCTTGGCTTTCCATGTACGATTTTCACATCTGACCACATAGAAAATAAACTTTCAATGACTTGGTTAGAGAATTCACGACCATTATCGGAATGTAGTAGTTCGGCGCTCCAAAAGTGGTGAAAATATCCAAGAGATGATATGTAACTTCTACTGCGCGTTTAGTCTGAAGTGCACAGAGGATCACAAATTTGGTTTGATGGTCTTGGTACACTAAAATGAATTTATAATTTCCATCTGGGGTAGTTTGTAGATCTATTAGATCTACCTGGCAACGTGAGTTCATTTCATTGTGAAGTATTGACTTGATAACAATACCTTTTTTCAAAACCTTTTCTTTCTTCAGACAAGGTTGGCATAGTTTGAAATATGTCATAATAGCCTCAACTGTTATATTTCTGTACTTGCGGTTACATTCCTTAAACATTGTTATACTTCCACCGTGGCCAATAGGGAGATGCGTTTCATCGAGAATGTTAAATAAGTCGTCGTAACAAACATAATATCTGATTTCTCCTCCTTCATGGGTGCAATTACCTTTTCTTCACCTCCAATGGTTAAAATATCATATCGCTTTATACGTCTATAATGAATAGCTTGCTTTTTTCATGTTCTTAGCAGCCTTTACTTCCTCTAAACACTGCGTATTTGTCCCTATCGAGATAAAAGTTATTGTCTTTCTTACTAGATACTAGCTCGTCCATTATTTCATAAAATCTTTGTTTTACACTCATTTTGTCTCATTCACTTTTAGACAATAAAAACAAAGTGAAACCAAATTAACGAAAGAACGTACGTACGCGTACAATCTTGTCGAGAGTCGACCAACCGACGTATGCGACCGACTATGGTAAGCGGACAGAGGGTGACACAGGTAGCGGGGAGGGCTGCACATTGTTCGCAAGTACGATAACGCGCCGAACACGTCTATACATGACTATTTTTCAACATTTACCGTGTCTAGAGGTAAAACCTAAGATTTACTGAGTGAATGCTACAAACATAGTCCGAAATAAACGATTACCATAGAACACTTCGTACTTTTACCTTAGGGATTTGGTAAATCATAGGTTTTACTGCAAAATCTTAGAATTTACCGTAGTTCTAGCTTTTACAGTAACATATATACTAGCTGATCCTGCAAACGTTGTATTGCCATATACATTATTTCCGGGAAATATTTTTAGTTTTAAAAATCGCGATTAAAGAACAGGGGTTGCTCGTAGAAGGGTGAAAATTGGAAGTTTAATGTATTTTTCAATGTTAAATCATAATAAAATAAAAATTAAAAAAAATGTCAAAAAAATAAAATTTTTTTAGGGGTGGGTCACCCTTATCATTTAGAGGTTTGAAAAATAGACATTGGCCGATTCTCAAACCTACCCGATACTCGTATGCACACAAAATTTCATACAAATCGGTTCAGCCGTTTCGGAGGAGTTTGGTAACAAACACCGCGACACGAGAATTTTATATATTAGATTAGATATATACTATTGGTTATGCGACAAGATTTGAAACCCACGAACTGCAGCGCCGTTGTCAACCGCTTAGCCAGTGCGCTACCGAGCCATTGCCAGATTTTTCAAATTACTTTTTAAATTTGGAAGTTTAACGTTATTTTTTTTAATTAATACACCTTTTTCATCATTTATCATTCAGTACAGCAGCCTGTCAAAGTCCACTACTAAACACATAGTTGCTTGGCAGCCGGTTTAGTTTCCACAGTTTTTTTTTATTATTATGAGTCAGTGTAGCTGTAGTATGAGAAATATACTACTGTCCATCTCCTGTTTAACTTTCCCTCTGACGCTTCATACGACACCCGTGGAATGAAATGGGGTAGTTGATTTTTACATACGCCGCCACTAACTTTACAATTTTTATGGACTTAGGTATATTACCATTATTTACCCTTACTTTAGAACGTTATTAAGGAATAATTAAGATTGTATGACATACCCTAACCAGGCGGAGGCTTATATTAAGTTTTTACGTAAATTAATACATTAGCTTCAATATGTTTTCTTCTTCGAGTATTAACACACCGGTAATAATATCTTAGCTAAATATCGGAAACGTCGAGAATTAAAAATAAGAAAATTAAACCCGATAAAATCCGTAAAAACGGTTTTATAAGAAAGTTTATAAGTAAATATAAGAAATTTTTAGCTAAATCTCATTTTACTTAAGTAGCTATGGCGTTATTTGCAATACAAATCTCAAATAGTCTTTAGTTCGTACAATATAATTTTAAAACTTTCAATGCTCGACAACTTAGTAAATAAATAGTCGTTAAACACAAAACGCAGATTGCACCACAGACATTAATGCATAGATTACTGTGTATAAATGTTATAGTTACACTTTGTTCATTTGTAAGTCGATGATGGATTGCTTATTTTTTTATTATTATTAAACTGGCTGAACTAAAGTGACTAAGTAATTTATGTACAATTAAAATATTAAATCTAGGAGTAGTTTCAAGAGGTTTTGGACTTATTTGTGGAGTTCAAAGCTTAAAAGCTTTATGACCTGACATTGCATTGTTGCTACAAGGTAAAAAGAAAAGGGGAATACGAAACGTTACGTGAACGAACCCAGAAATGTAAAGAAGCAATTTGAATATAGACGGAAAAACAATTTAAAAATACAGTCAACGCTGGGAAAGATCCGTGTTATTACGTTAAAAATATTAGTTACCAATATGATTTTTATTTAATTTTTATTATATATTTGAACTTCATGTACAAATTAATTGGTTATTGTTAGTCGCGACATGTCGGTCACTCTGGTTCTACTGCGGATATCCTCATTTCTGAGTTTATCATGCAGAGAAACTCCGAGCATAGCCCTCTCCATAGCTCGCTGAGCGACCTTGAGCTTCCTCATCCGGCCAGCAGTAGAACCAGAGTGACCGACATAGCCCAACGGATTAGTAAGCTGAAGTAGCAATGGGCCGGCCATATAGCTCGAAGAACCGACAACCGATGGGGAAAAAAGGTTCTCGAGTGGCAGCCTCGTACCGGCATGCGAAGTGTTGGGCGTCCCCCCACTAGATGGAGTGACGACCTGGTGAGATGCGCAGGAAGTCGATGGATGCAGGTGGCTCAGGACCGTGCTTTGTGGCATTCCTTGGGGGAGGCCTATGTTCAGCAGTGGACTAGTGCAGGGCTGTAATGGATGGATGGAGTCGCGACATTAGTGACGCCAATAGTTATTGCATTATATAAGACAATTATACGAAAAACACACGGAATTACTAAAAATAAATATTTACTCGATATTTTCTAAGTAGACCAGAACAAAAAGCAATTAATTATGAATAGAAATTTTGTAGCGATTAAAGTAGGCGTTAAAAGTTTTTTCCCGAAGCATATTACTGTTGTAACCTTTTCCATGTTGTTTCGTAATAATTGTCAGAAAACTGATGTAGAATGTCGAAACATTATCAATGTTCCCTGCTTATTAATTGCTGCATAATTGCAAAACCGAAAATCGAATATTTGTTATCCTCCTTACATTTCTGTAAACTACAAAAATGCTTTCATTAACAATGAAGAAAGTTACCCAACTATTTAATAGCTAATTATTTGTTATGTAAAACAATTGTTAGAATATTTGTTACAACGTTAGCCATTAATTGTTTTAAAAAAGAAAAAAAAGTATGATTTTTTAATAATTAAGGAGACCTAGTTTAATCTATTGTTAGAAGACAAAAAGAAGTACGATACATCACATATCATGACGTTTTGTTTTGTTGGTAAAAAACTAAACTGCGGGAACCTTCTAACAAATAACATTATTTTTCCATTGAAATGCTTTAGCAACGAGTTACAATTACCTACGTGTGATCTCTTTTGTGGCTGTTCGTGAATTAGTGTAGCCATAAATTTATTAACTCTAGAGAAACCTATTTGAAAATTATAAACACGTACCACGATCTGTTTATATTAAATACACTGAATTATTCTGAAACTAAATTTACTTATTCTGATAATTTCTGAATCTTTAGTGTGTATTAATTAAAATTACGACCTTATCAGTGAAAGTCAACGACTAAAGATTTGTTCTTGGCGGCTGAATTACCGGTCACCTTCGAAAACACGACCTTATTCATTTTTGGTTTGTGCAAACGCACGTTCAACATCGGCATCGATTCACTTTTCATTTTGAACTTTTGATTTTATTTTCTCTACTGTGAGATGGATTGCAGGACAGATAATAATACTGTTTCGTTGGGATACTAAAGGCTTACTGGCCCATTCAGCCATCAACGAAAGGTACCACTGATGACTGACTGGGCCTGTCATGTCTGCCGTATGCCCGTATGTGAAAAGAACTTTATTGGCAGAATTACAGGCAAATATTACATCTCGGTGAACTCCTATAAATGGCAGACGACCCCGAGGCAGACCCAGAAAACAATGGCGGGATGAACTGGACTCCTTCATGGAAGACTGGTATCAGTCATATAGCACAGAACCGTGAAAGGTTTAAAGAGGTTGGGGAAGCCTTTGTCCAGCAGTGGGACGTTATGGGCTGATAAGATAAGATAAAGACTTCGTTGATAATAACTTTGTACCGCAGTCGTCATTCTTTCTTCCGATAGAGCACCATAATATAACCAGCACCATAAAGACACTTTAACTCTTTCCAAATAAGAAACATTTTTAACTATTCATTTATTTCATCATCATTACATTTTTTATAAGTTCACCGCCGAACTTGGGCCTTCCCCAAAGAATGCCACTAAACCATTCCACTACCACTACCACTACTACATAAACTAATCCATTGACTACCTTCATTAGAGCACAGGGCACAGCACTCCATCTTGTGTGTAGTGCCCTCCTATATTTCTCTTACTGGTACGAGACTGCTACTCTAAAATTTTTCTTCCGCATCGGTTGTCGTTTTTTTTTTTAGTTTATTTAATTCAACTTGTGTTTAGGAAGACCGTGTGACCACAAAGACCGTAAAAATATTAAATAAGAGTCTGTCCTATTTTAAAACTTACAAGATTTGGCAACATTATCGC